ACGTGCTTTTTGATGAACACGTTAAAGGCCTGATCATCATCGAGCTGACGGGAAAGAGAGCGTCGTCTCTCTTACACAACGCAAACGGTAGAGCAACATTCGAGCAAAAAGAAAATTATAAAATGACTATCATATGACATATGGAATTTCGTTCTAATTCCTCAATTTGGTGTAAATTAAACTATTTCTGATCAAAAAGGTTATTACTATGACACCGTTGCTTGCACAAGCACAACATCAGCAGCTCTTATTATGAGAAAAACTAAAATACTTACATCCGTGATGGTCTTTTTGTTTGGTACTGTAATTTGAAAGCTTGTTTTGCAAGTGTCGGAAGCAAAGGCAATCGATTATCACAGAAAATGTGTCGACTACGGTGACCGCTTACAAGACTGGTCTCGACATGACTTTTATTCGCCTTCACACGGCACCGTCGAAAATTGTTCTCTTCATGCAAAGATTGACTGTATATTATGGGAACTTTCGACGGAGTGAAGAGATAGTACGAAGACCGCCATGTTTCACGCACAGTCTGACGTTTGTTTACTCAAAAAGCGGATAAGTGAGCAAGAAAATGGTTGATGGAGGTGTATTTTACTTTATGTTTCTTTGCCTTCAAGCAAACCCCACACGCATCAATATATTGACGCGAAGGGGAATTATTGACAATAATATTGATGATGTGAATTCAGAAATATTGTCAATCTCGATATATTGACGTCAATATAGCATGTATTGACAATACGATTATTGTCAATAAAAGCAATCGTGTAGGGTTCACTTCAGAATCAGATTGTAAAATTCGATTCTGAAGGGAAACGTACACTGAAGAAATAAAAATCCGTAGAAACTGTACCGAATTCCGTAGATTTTGCCTACGGATCCGTATTTCCGCAAAAATTTGTAAAATCCGTAGATCTACGGAGATTTCCGTAGATCTGGCATCTCTGTGAGACTCTCAAAGGTCTCCCTGCTACTTTTCTTTTCTACTCTACTGCTGATAATTTACATAAAAGTTTCACTACTCACTGATGGGCCCATCATTGTTGTTCGGCTGCTGTTGCTTATGGGTGCACCGGTGCTATCGATGTCGTTCGGAGGCATGCATTCTGTCGTCGGACGTGGAGGCGCATCGCGTACTTGTCCCTTCATGCGAACACGCAATAGCCCGACCGAGCGGAGCGCCCGTCCGGTGATCTTTAACAACCCGGGCGTATGCGCTCGAGTTTTCCGCCTACTGCTTCTGCTATCGTTGGTAGCCGTTTCGACGTCTGATCCTCACTCAGATAGCACAGCCGGATTGCCTACGCCTATACACCGCTGCCTGCTTCGGCCGTCGCTGACCGCTCCTTGAGCTACTCTGTCGACCGGCCCGTCACCGCCTGACTTGGATGTCGAACGTATGGCGTCTCTCTTCGATCGTCAACCAGGACACTCGTATCGATCCCGACTGGCCGAAAGGTTGACCCTCGACTCCTGTCCTTGCTCGTATGCACAATCGTTTCAGCTCCTCCTTCCGTTACTGGTGTGCCAGCTTGTTTAGTGGGTGGTCGTATCAGTCTGAAGGTTTCCCCGATCCTCTCCCGGTCGGCTAGCAACTGCCCGGATGTTGACCGTGCCCGCAGACGGTCTCGCACTGCTTTTCGTCCCTCGCGTCGCACACCGGACACCGCCGCACTAAACGGAAAGATGAAAATCAAGAAGAAAGGCCCTGCGGCAAACTATAGGGTTAGGTTTAGGCTCATCTCACACGAAATTTAACGGCCTACCTCTTTCGAAGGCCTTTCTTGGTGCCAAATCTGTTCGGAGCTAGAACGATTTGCCTTGTGTGCCCCTCTCTGGTTCGTTTTGCATCCTCAGACGGCGTGAAGGTGGATGCGGTGCAAATTATCTTCCACCGATCTATCGGAAGACAGTAACAAACGCTGTATTAGTCGGGCTATCCAGAGTGAGGCATATTTTACACTCACCGTGCACTTTTTCCCCGTGTGCGTCTGGGAAGGGGTCAAATCCAGCCGGTTGTGGGAGTTTTTCTTCCGTTGCATCGGTTCGAACACACAACGTCACCCTTCTGTCCGGAGTGTGGAAATGTGGAAGAATCACCAGAGCACATGGTCTTTGAATGTCCTAAATTTGATGCTGTGCGAGAGGAGATGCTCGTCCTTAGGAGAATGTCGTCGAAGAAATGTGTCGAGAGGAGGGCACCTTTAACGCCGTCAGCAGAACAGTAACGCAGATCATGTCAGCGCTTCAGTGAAATGGCGAGAAGACCAGCTAGAAAGTAGTAATGTGCTCACACAAGTGCGAAGTGAAAGACGGAGCCGGGAGAACTCTCCGTCGGCGTTGCCTGATTCCATCGCCTGGGGTTAGTCGAGTAGAACGCGACTACGCTCGGAGCTATATGACTCACAAATTGGAGAGATGATCAGCGAACTGTAAGCGCCAGTTACTTGAGGTAAAGTAAGGTGCGTAATGCACAGTCCCCTCCGAAGTAATAGGACTAGTGGTTCCGAGGGAATAGGGCAAGGCGTCCAAGAAGGATCCCACACACCGTGCCACCTTTAGGAAGGTTTCCTCCTTGCCAAAAAAAAACACGCGTATACGTAGGCATTTTTCTGATGTCGTCAAATTGAGTCGATTGGTTTATGACACTCAGCTCTCCAGGCTTCCCAAGCGTACACATGCACATACACTTTATATAATAGGTCCAACCATGATGCATTTTTAATTCCAACCATGATTCAACTTCATTTCTGAATAAAAACTTATTAGTATTATTAGAAACTAGAAAGATACACTTTTTCACCAAACACAAATTTGTCATGTCCATATGTTGTATTCAAAGAAAAAAACACGGCATACATTTAGACGCAGTGTGAAAATGACATAAATAGGTCCAACCAAAATTCATTATAGTACGTTCAGACTACAGAGTTATAACATGTTATAGCGCTATCTTGATGGTGGTTTCTGTGTTGCACTTATTTGACAACCGTTATAACATGTTATAACTCTCCAGTCTGTACTGCGTTTTACTCTTCATTACTCTCATCAATGAGGATTATAGAAAAAATAACAAAAACTAAAACGGGTTGAAAACAAAATTAGAAGGAAAGGGATGTAAGTGACTTTGATTGATTCTCTTCATCGGCAATTTCTTTCGTTAATAATTCAGCTGCAAACATATTCCTTGGTTCGTGTGCCATTCTGGATGCTAGAAGTCACTTACACCCCTTTCCTTTTAACCCCTTCAATTATGGCCGCTGTCGGAGCCACCGAGGGCCCTTTTATCAAAGAACTTCTAGGAGCATATCAAGGGAATTTTAGGGGAGAATTTGGAGGGAATTTTGCCAGAACACTTCAAGAACGCTGTTGAGAATTCCTGCGAAATTTTCAGGAGAAATTCACTAAAATCTAAAAAAAAATAGTGACTTAAGAATATGTTTCAATATTTTAAAACTTGTAAAAATATTCGTGTCAAACTTATTTTTTGTAAGATCTCAGGCATAGAATAAAAATTGAAGATCGACATTATGAGACTCGCTAAAATGTTCAAGGTCAACCGAATGCACCGGGATATGAAATTCGAAATTTTTGGAACCTTCTTACGAAGCCGTCCAAAGTTTCCATGTAAGAAGTCCGGATCTGAAATAAAAATTGTTTTCTATTCGAGTCTGTAATTGAATTTCGAGCTTCACTTACAACACAGTCCCTTTTGAGGATTACCATCACCTACCTTAGGCTGTGAACCATTTGCCGAGTTAAATTTAACTCGTGGTTAAAAGTGACATTTCGAAAGTTATTTTCTATGTTCGAAAATCCCTGTGCTGTCGATCGACCGGTTTTCGAGCCACGGTTGTCAAAATTTAACTTCTTGTCTGTCAGAAATAACCATGCTCGGATAGCAGGGTTAATCGATAACTTTCCATCTGTCAAATTTTAACCAAAAGTTAAAATAATCCACCAAATGGTTCAGAGCCTTAAGATCCTTGCCCAACTTTTATACGGCATTCGTCGTCCTTCCCACATCTTAAAAAACGAATGAGAATAAAACTATTCAAATTTGTGGGAGCGTTACGGACGATTCTTCCGCCTTCCTCAACGTGGGTTATTTCTCATTATTCGTACACACTTCAATGTCACCGCGCCAAACGTTTTCTCCTCATGTAGGGATTAGTCCACCTTAAAACCAATAATTTAACAGGATCAATGCAGGGATTACCTCACTGTTTGTTGATGTGGGATTTTAATTGTTCAGCATGATCATTTCAAACCCGGTTTCCGTAGAATGCCTTATTCTGCTTCTTTTAAAAGACCATTAAACCACGATAACAACGCTCACTGCTAATTCGCCGAAAACGATGCAATCGTTTTCTGGAAATTGATTTCCTAAATCGCTGTAATCGTGCGGATGGTGGTGGTGATTGAAAAATCAATCTCTTACTCAACTATTTTATGGAAATCGTCTTCACTTTTTCGCTCGATAAAATTCCTCGCAGTCAAATACGGCAGGCCATCAGTGGGGCTCTTAATTTGAATATATGGGTAAAAAGATAAAGTTTTTGGCTCCCGGACAGGATGAAATCACAAACAAAAAAAGGAAGGGGGAGGCATATCGTACCAACGTCCGGAAGTAGATAAGCGATTGGGGTGGACCGGGACCCTTCCACTGCTATGTTGCACAGCAAACAGCGACGAGTACATACAGTAGCAATCTGCTCTACCATTGACCGAATCAAGAAGGGGTGGGGTGCGGCTAGCAAACGAGAACGATGTTGTTGAACAATTTTGATACATTTCGGATATACGGTTCGGAATCGTACGGACCGGAAACGGATATGAGCCAATCCTAGATTGGAGTGAAAATAGAGTTATCATAGCGTAAACTGATTTGGGGTCAACGGGGTGATGTCCCGGTGGGTGGGTGGAAATTGATACAAATGGACTTCGGTAGTTTTAGAAGCGAGGAAATCGAAACCGTTTCAAAAAAAAAACATGTAGTTACATGGAAATTTATAAGGCTAAACATAAAAGTGAAAAACTTATGGACTTATTTGTCGAAGAACTCCTGCACTTTAGCAACGATCTGGTTCAGGGCGATCACCGTCGGGCTGTTGGAATGTTCCGTTATGAAATCTTTCCCTTCGTCACAGCATTTCGCCAATCTCGGATCCAGAGGCAGCTTGCCCAAGTAGGACACTTCCATCTCCTGGCACATCTTCTCCGCTCCGCCGGTCTTGGCCGGAAAAATATCCGATTCAGTCGTACACTTGGGACACACAAATACCGACATATTTTCCACCACCCCGACAACCGGAATCCCCATTTTCTTACAGAAAGTAATCTCCTTCCGGACGTCCAGCAATGCCACTTCCTGCGGTGTCGTCACCAGCACCGCACCCCAATTCCCTTCGGTCTCCTTCAAAAACGTTGCGGCCGAAAGGTGCTCATCGGATGTCCCCGGAGGTGTATCCAGCACCAGATAATCCAACTGTCCCCAATCCACCTCGGTCAAAAACTGCCGAATCATCCCGTTCTTCTTTGGCCCACGCCAAATAATCGCATCATCCGGACTGCCCAGCAAGAATCCAATCGACATCAAACTCAAATTATCTTCCACGTACACCGGTGACCAACCGGATCCGGACTGATGCACCTGCTCCCCCAGCACGCCCAATACTCGCGGCTGCGAGGGCCCGCAAATATCCACATCCAGCACGCCGTAGTTCTTTTCCGGATTCAACTGCGCCATCGCTCGGCTCAGCAGGGCCGTCACTGTGCTCTTCCCGACGCCACCCTTTCCGGACAGCACGAGAATCTTATTGCGCACTTCCTTTAGCTTTTCCTTTACCAGTGCAATCGACGGGTCCGGACCTTTCGGACCAGTGGAACATATCTGCTGATTAGGGCATCCGGCACAGGCGGATGCCTTACCCGCGTTTTCACTCTCCGTTCCCGGGCAGTGTTCCGGAGCGTCCGCCGGTTTGTTTTCCACTTCCACGGCACTCATGACGATTGATTTATGGGCGAATATTCCTTGAACTTGATTGAGTTGTCTGATAATAAACTGAAAAAAAATATACGGGAACTACTTTTGCGATGTGATTAGAAAAAAAAAACACGCAGGTAAACAAAAGCGAAAGAATGAATCAGCTGTTCAAGAGTACTGTCAAAACGGTGATGCGAGTATAGTATTTTTCATAAGGGAAGCTTCCATTTCATTCCATGGGAATCTTATTGGGAGCCAAGGGGTTTTACGATGTCAAATCACTTGTTCATACGTTTTATCCGTCCTGCTGTAGTTCAACCAACAATCAATACGAAACTAACGATTTTAAATTGGCTCACTACTTGACTAGCCTATTGGTCCCAAGCAAACGATTAACGTACCGTTACCTCTATGGTTCAACCGTTAAACTACACGGATAGAAATCTCCTTATACATTTTGGCAAATTTCTATGGCTGATTATTCATAAAATGTATAAGTCAACTAATAAGCAGACGCCTTGCAAAAAGCTAATGAAGATCATGTGTCAAATAAAATGTATAAGCGGTCACACATACCTTTTATGCGGTCTTATAGGACCTATGTGGTTTGTCTTATGGAATGTATAAGGCTGAGTTTTGGCAAAAATGTATAAGTTAAACACATGAATAAAATAATTGATTTTCGTTTCGTGTACACTCGTTTACAACTGCATGTTACAATGTAACATTATGTTGCGCATTTCTCACCAAACTGGACACATTAGCGCGTTTTCACTCTGGTTTTCACTTATTAAAAAGTGTGATAAGATTGCACGATTACATAGTTGAAGATGCTAACTTTCAAATAACAGACTGTAGTGGTAATTTTTATACGATAGATGGAGTAGATGAAAGAATAGGGTTGATAGTTCCGTTAGAGTACGGCAGTGTGAAAATTGTATATTTATAGTAGAATAGTGAGCTAGGACAACTTTAAAGGAAGGTACAAATCGGTTTTTTCATCTCTCTTTACCAAACTCCCCATTTGGAGAGGGATGGTGAGGGGTGTTATGCCTCGGGTTATGCCAATGCCCAGGGAGTACCTAAACAACCTGAAAACTTGAACATAATATTATAACACCATCGGATAGGGGCAACTATCACCTTTCCGAAAGTGGTATTGGTTTGGGTGGGCGTACTTTGGTTCGCGTGTAAGGGCCTTAGAAAGTTTTTTTACAAATGCTTTTTGCCGTTATCAAATGTTATGCCTGAAATAATGTCTAATTCGCTTGGTATCATATGAGAAAATATCTTAGGGATGTAATTTTGATTGTTGATTATTTATGGAGATCGCTGATCACCTGATGGTCCTTGAAACATCTTCTGAGCAACCTGTTTTCATGAGAAAACATCCAATAAATGATAAAAGATGCAAGCGCTTTCATGCAATTCTGTGAAGATCCATGCCTTTTCATGAAGTTCTATAATATACTATCAAATTCCTAGGACTTCTATGAAATATCTCACACTCCTATGAAACTACCAGGTTGGAGACCGACTATAATAGAGGATGATGAATATGACTTCGGTAGTTTGTTTAGTGTGAGTTGCAGTATTCTTTGAATTAAAGGTACTAATGGGGTCTGATTAAGTTCTCTTGAGCTCACTCTAGAACCTAAATTTCGTATTTAGATCTATAAAGGAACTGCTGGTCTGAGTTCCTTTTGTAAATTCAACTAAAGGATGTTCCTGAACATACAGTCAAACAGCACGTAATGTTGTGAACAACTTCAATGACAGTTGTCCAGCAGTGCTCCCATTTTATTTGCAACAATCCAATGCCTACACACAAAAAATAATCGTTAATAAATTTAAAAAAACCATTGGTAAAATTAAAAGTTAGCGTTGGTTCTTTTTGGTAGAAAGTATTTAGCATTCAAAACTAAAGTCCCCTAACTGTCAATTCAAAAGTAGCTCTCTTTCTACTTTTAAAAGTTGAAACTTTCAAATCGAATTGTAGAACTGTCAAACTGAAAACCTATAGTTTTTAAATTGACGTATAACAAATTTTAATTCAAATGATAAGCATTTTAATCGCAATTACATACGTTTTTATCTTAAATTTGAATAAAATTTAAATCATTACTTTTATTTTTTAAAAGAAATAACCAGGGACATTCCTTTTATTCTAATTTATTTTTTATAATAATTATATTGTCCATTACAAAGCAGCAGAAGTGACGCTCCCGATGCTTTTACAGTATGAATTGTATTATTTTAAAGATTGTTGATGAAAGCTGGAATAATTTACTCCTGACGGACTCGGTGTGGGGGTACTTGAATGAAAGTGGCATCTTGATGGGGGTGGGAGTCGAGGTGGGAGTAAGGCCGTGGCCAGGGTAGACGCAACACGCGACGCGATGCGTTGCGACTCACGCAACGAATAATAATAAATAATAAGGTTCTTTTGAATTGGTCGCGTCGCGTCGCGAATCGCGTCTACCCTGGCCGTACCCTAACCTTCCTTTCCGGCAAGACTGAGGCTGCTGAAAATTAAAACATCTCAATTAGAACAATCGGAAATTCATTGAAAATTATACCAAATTACCGTCAATTCCAGCACGCCATCATTGTCTCCATGTTATGATAGAGTTTATGTTTCATCTAACATTGCTTCCCTCCGTTGGCTGCTTTGACGATCACCTGCAATCCGATGAAAATGAATTAGCGGTGGCGTACCACTTTTTGGGAACCGATTCCAGTTCGAAAGAGATACCGACGGGAGAGTAATGTGAAAACGTAGAAAACACAGCAATATGGTTTATTTTTCACGCTTTCAAATTAAGCGGCAAACGAAGGTCAAGTGATGCCAAAATCTTCGCAATGACGAGGAAGTTTTGAAAGATCTGCGACTTTTATTTAAAAAAAATTAACTTTTGAAATTACAAGTTGAAATTGAAAGAAACACTTTTAATCCGAAAAAAATGTTTTGATTTTGAATATTTTCGTTGTTAAAACTACGAAATTGGAGAAACTTTTAAATTGAAATTTCATTATTTTTATAGGAACAATTTTTGTTCTTTGTGTGTACGAGATTGTGCCGAAGGTCTGCCGATGGATGTGCCCAAGCAGTGCCGAATCTAATTTCGGCATAACGTGCTGAGTGACTTACCCCTTGGCTTCAAGCAAAATGTTCTTGGATCTCTTTTGTGCCACCGGAGTGATTAAACCTTATCCCATTTATTTTAGTTTGAATAAAAACTGGTTCATTTACCTGCACTCCAGCTGTAATGGACATGCAATCCAAATCCTCTTCTGACTCACTGACGTTGTTTGGATGTCCCAGACGCTTAAAATCGAATCCAGTAGAATTATGTGAAGGGTTTTCATCTTCTACAAATCGCACCGACTGATGAGACCGTTGAAGTTTACAAAAACTACATAACACGTTCTTGTTGCCGTTCCTAATAGGGTAAGGAGGGGCAAGATGGGTCAGCTAGTACATTTATTAATTTATTTGTTTTTCAAAATCGACAGGCTAAATGCAACCCCAATGATAGTTTGTTTTTTTTTCAAACCATCATAGAGAGCTGCAAGTGGCTGCACCGTCGGTTTAACCTCACATTTTTTGACATCTGGCAGTGGTTTGTTTACATGGACTTAGGAAAAATTCAAAAAATTTAATTAAAATTAAATGTTTCTTTTTTAGATTTTTTGGAGTGCAATATTTTTCAAAGGAACATAGTCGGATATCATATGTTTTAGTTCTTTATATTTAAAACCTAAAATCCACTTGAATAGCCTAAAAAGCATAGGTAAACAAACCACCACTGGATGTCAAACTGATGAATGCGGGTTCATCGCGTTCATTCATGACGTGTGACGAGTGCACGGATGGATTTTAGTTCACTCACTCGACAAAAAGTGACACAACAGCGGGGCCCTGTTTTTAAAAATGAACACATGAAAAATGCTCACGGACTGTTTGAAAAGGGCCTATCAACTTTTGTAAATAATTTGCTGGATCGTTTTCACGAGAACCGAAGCACGCCCACGCAAACCAAGAGCACTATCGGGATGGGGAGAATTTCATCTGCCCGATGGTGTTGTTATTTTGCGTGAGCGTATTCGGTTCGCGCGAAAAAGGCTTAACAAGTTTTGTGCACATAAGTTGATAGACCCGTTTCAAATGTTACGTGAGTATTATTCATGTGTTCATTTTTAGTAAACAGGGCCCCGCTGTTGTGTCACTTTTTGTCGAGTGAGTGAACTTAAATCCATCCGTGCACTCGTCTATTAGGTTCTGCAGCGTGACGTCACAAATGAACTCAGTGTTAATAGGCTGAACCTTTTTGACAGTTCAGTGGTACTGTTTACAAGCACTTAGTCGTTTTGTCGAAAAAACAAATTCTAAAATTTCCGAATTTTAACTTGAAAATTGTCGAGGAACAGCGCGGTGAAAGGATGTTGCTCGTGGACAATGCAGAAGTGTGGTTTACATCTCACTGCAGTCTGAAAAATCATCGAGAAAATCTACCCAAGAAAAAAACGACTAAGTCCACGTAAACAGTACCACTGAACTGTCATCAGATTGAGGTTAACCCCGACGGTGCAAAACCTAATTGAGGCTACATTCGTTTACACTCAAAATAATCTTCATGTTAATGCTACGTGAAAACATACAAAGATTTTTTCCATAGCACTTTTCACGTAAACTTTACGTGATTCTCATATGGAAGCACTCATTTCAGTGAGCTTCAACGTCACTGGATTATCACATAGAAGTTACGTGATTCTTTCAGTACAGCTCATGGTGGTTTCTAATGATGTTAATTATGCTACGATTTGAATAAAATGTATTCTTGATTTAGGCATTAGGCAAAGATCTAGTATTATTTTATGCATATGCCTTTATTTTGCCATAAAACATATACATCGGCAACAAAAACATATTGAAATTAGATTCGATCGGGCCAAGGATCGGAAACGGGAAAACATACATGTAATACAAATGCCTATCCTGCATTTGATCTTACACCATGAATGATGCTGTCATACAAAAAAAAAGAAAAAGGCTTAAATATTCTCTATGTAAATGTTTGATTCATTAAACTTACCACATTAAATTGACCCACAAAAAAGTAACACCTAAAATATGCCCACTGAGCTAGCGCCATATTAAGTGTCACTCATTTATTTTTTCAGACGTGAAAATCACTTAGGGTTTACGTGAAACGCATTGTACTTGGGTCATGTAAAATTGACGGCAAACACAGATACGCTGTTATACGGAACTGGGCAACAATGCACATTTAATACAACACTAGTTCAACCCAATATTGGCGATATAGATTGAGAGAAACGATGCATAATGGAGAAAAAATGACGGGCAACTAAAATCAACAAACAAGGTAAAGCCATTCGACACACCCATTTGTAACCCCCGGAGAAGATGTATTTCTTTCCAGAAATAACGACCATCAAAAGCGTTCCAAATTAATAATTCCTCATTGAAGAATTTACTTGCTGTGAAATGATAGTATCTAAAAGATGGTAATACCTAAATTAAAAACTAAAAAAAAAATGTAATAAGCGATAGTTTTTGTCTACAAATAACCAAACTTAAAAGCGAACCTGCATAGCATTCACGCTTACCCTAACTACCTACCTATCTATACTGATTTCTTCGAATTTGTTGTTTGGGACTTATTAAGAGTGCCTTAATAACATAAAATTACACTATTCCAATGGTTCCATTAGAATTGGATGATATTAGGGAGAAAAATAAATAATCGTAAAAGCCTAACAACACAATTGCAATCAAATGGAGAGCGAAACGAAATCACTGAACCAAAGCTCTTAGCAAGGAAAGTAAGTAAGTTAATTAGCGCCAGTTGTAGCGGGTAATCGAATCGAGCGAAGGGTGTAGGACAGTAAATCACAGATTTTCTTTTTCAGTTACTACAAGTCAGTCCCGCGAGGGGGTTCCAACTGTTCAATGGGATCGGTCAGCAGTTTCCATTGTTTCTTTTCTCGATTATAGTTTATTCTTTCTGCCTTTCACATACGCTTGTTCAGTGTGTGTATCTCTGTTTTCTTTTATCATCAGCTTCTTATAAGATTAGACTTAGCAATTAATTATTACAAGAGGGTTTTTTTTTCTAGCTCAGTTTTCACCGTTATGATTTTTTTTTATTTCAATTTCTTATATAATTAGCAATTTTATTCTGCAGTTGTTTGCCCTCATACTCGGGTGGAAAATTCGAACAAAAATACGGAACAACCAAAGCTCCTAGGTATTTGCTGCTTGCGCGCTCTCTCGCTTGCATTCCATCCATCTTATCTCTCTTCCGGCCCGATCGCGCACACAAACGAAAAAGCAAATCGAAACGCAACCATGTCTGTCATACCGCACAAGCACGCCGCTGATTTTAACCTGGATTCACACTACTTAGGTTGGAATTTGCCCACCGGTTCCGGTAGGAAAAAGCCCCAAAAATTTAAAGAAGTTTCCAGGGATGAACCAACCAAAAGAATCACTTACTTAATGCTAAATATGAGTCTTTGCACAGGCTTTTTTTTTCCTCGAAAAAAAATGTGTTTCTGTTCCGTGTAAGTGTGTTGGAGTCTGTCTGTACACATGTCTTTGTGTGGGTGAAATTGTAGTAATTGGTATTCGGTGGCAGGCTTTTCCATTTAATAGTGTTAAAAACTAGCATTTTAATTTTCTTTTTTTCCTTTACAAGAAGGCTCACAGATTTTTAAGGTTCTTTTTTCCATTATCTTTTTTTTTATCGTATGACACAGGACACGCACAGTTTCGAAGCACCGATGCAGTCATCGTGACAGAAGGCGCCACACTGCTGACAAATGACCATCGCATTGAGCGAGCAGGAACAGGACGAAGCTGGTCCTGCTCCTTGCGGCTGCTGATGCTGATGATGGTGGTTACTATTTCCATTGCTATTACTACTACTGCTACTACTGCTGTTGCTGTTGCTACTAGTGCTATTGTTATTGTTGATAATACCGATAGTACTGTTATTGTTGTTGTTGTTGTTATTATTATTGTTGTTGTTGTTGTTGTTGTTGCTACCCGGGAGAAGGGGAGATGGTGCTGAAGTGGAAGTGATGTGGCCTCCAGTGGCAGCTGCCATCGGACCGTTGCTGGATGCTATTACGGTATTGTTGCTACTGTCCAGCATAACGGAAGCTGCCGTTTGGCTGATGTGCTGGCCGTTGGCCGCATCGATACCGACATCACCGTATGAGATTACTGAAAGTAGAAGAATCGTGTTTTTAGTGAAATAGGATCAAAATGGAATTCTTTCCATTATGTACATCGACTTAATGAACCAAATGTGTTTAGCTCGTAATACTGACTATGAACCATTTATCAAGTATTGCTAGACTATTATCCAACGGAGTGCTCATTGGATAACGATTGAAGTTAGACTATCGTTTATCCATTATCACCAGAACGACGTTTTCAAATATATCATAGCTGAACTTGGTGAACTTATTGAATTAAGGTAAGAGCTAATCCTGCGATGTTGGAGCACATCGTTACCTTTAGGTAAATTAAGTTACACTCAATATCAAGATGATTACGTTTGGTATGAAGTCACAGGGATAAATTTATTTATTTATTTATTGTAACTCATCTGACAGTAGTTGTCTTAATGAATAAAACTTAGATAATACACAAAAAAGCAACAGATAAACAGATTACAAATCTCAATCGGTTTCGAAATTGGTTCGATGTTTCTCCGAATTCAAATGCTTCTTCCACAGCGAAGAATGCCCGAATCATCGCATACATTGGCTCATGGTATCCATATGCAGTCCGATGGAATCTTGGTTGTAGTAAGGATGATTGCCGCAACATCCTTTGAGGAACACGGAAGTTTAATTGTGAAAGCAGTTGAGGGCAGTCCACATCGCCATTTAAAAGTTATGCTACAAATAAGGCTTGTTGCATTTTTCTTCTTGGGCTACAAAATGGTGAGTTGACAACCTGGAAGGAGCGGAATACCTAGCCCTGGTTCTCACAGGTTCCTACTTCACGCCTCCCCGAGTCATAACAAAAGACTACCATGGAGGTGCGGCTCAAAACGGCGTCTGTTCTCCATGTTAGGAGCGGCTGATCACCATCCTAGTGCTAGCGTGGGACTCTAAACAGAGCTGTGCACGATGGTCTCGCGGCGGGCCCAACAAGCCGCACTGAAAAAAAAACAAAGTTGCAAATACTGAAGAAAGAAATACGGATCGGAACAATCGGCACAGACCTACGCGACGAAATAAGGACTACGATTGGAAACTCGGAACATGGAACTGCAAATCGCTCGGCTTCCTGGGCTGCGATAAGTTAATATGACGAACTTCAACCACGCAACTTCGAAGTCGTAGCACTGCAGGAACTTTGCTGGACGGGACAAAAGGTATGGAAAAGCGGGCATCGAGCGGCTACTATTTACCAGAGCTGTGGCACAACCAACGAGCTGGGAACCGGCTTTGTAGTGCTGGGTAAGATGCGCCAACGCGTGATTGGTGGGCAGCCGATCAACGCGAGGATGTGCAAGTTGAGGATTAAGGGCCGTTTCTTCAAGTACAGCATCATCAACGTGCACTGCCCACACGAAGGGAGACCCGACGACGAGAAAGAAGCGTTCTATGCACAGCTGAAGCAGGTGTACGACGGCTGTTCCCAACGGGACGTCAAAATCGTCATCGGCGACATGAACGGTCAGGTAGGACGGGAGGAAATGTACAGACCGGCAATCGGGCCAAACAGCATGCATGCCGCATCGAACGACAACGGCCAACGATGCGTGAACTTTGCAGCCTCTCGGGGTATGGTAGTTCGAATTACCTTTTTCTCCCGCAAAGATATCCACAAAGCCACCTGACCAACACACAGAAAACCAAATCGATCACGTTCTAATCGACGGGAAATTCTTCTCCGACATTATCAACGTCGGCACGTACCGCAGTGCGAACATAGATTCGGACCACTACCTAGTTGCAGTATGCATGCGCTCAAAACTCTCAACGGTGCATAACACCCGTCGAAGTCGAACGCCGGGTCCCCAAAATTGAGCAACTACGGGACGCCTGAGGTGCCCAGAACTACGCGCAGCGGCTGGAAGTTGCACTACCCACGGAAGAGCAGCTTGGCGCAGCTTCTCTTAAGGATGGCTAGAGGGACATCCGTTCCGCCATATGTAGTACTGCTGCAGCGGCACTAGGGTAGGCGAAGTATGCAGCACGGGTGAGATTGCTGCAACACCGCACGGGATTGAATGTGGAGCGATACAGACAAAGCTCGGTTTTCCGAAGGAAGAAGCGCCAGCAGGAAGACCGAGATCGCGAGGCGATGGAAAATCTGTACCGCGCGAACGACACACGGAAGTTCTACGAGAAGCTAAATAGTTCGCGCAAAGGTTACGTGCCGCAAGCCGATATGTGCAAGGACTTGGACGGTAACCTTCTCACAAACGAGTGTGAGGTGATTGAGAGGTGGAAGCAGTACTATGACGAGCACCTCAACAGTGAAGCAGCAGAAAACGAAGGTGGCACGGCAACAGACCTTGGAGCACGCGCAGAAGACGACAGGCTACCGGCCCCTGATCTTCAAGAAGTTGAGGAGGAGATCGGTCGGCTGAAGAACAACAAAGCAACTGGTGTAGATCAACAACCAAGTGAGCTATTAAAATACGGTGGTGAAGCACTGGCTAGAGCGCTGCACTGGGTAATTGCCAAGATTTGGGAGGAGGAGATATTACCGGAGGAGTGGATGGAAGGTGCCGTATGCCCAATCTACAAAAAGGGCGACAAGTTGGATTGCTGCAACTACCGCGCGATCATACTGCTGAGCGCCGCCTACAAGGTACTCTCCCAAATTCTATGCCGCCACCTGTCATCATTTGCAAGAGAGTTCGTGGGGCAATACCAGGTGGGATTCATGGGTTCATATTCGCGATTCGGCAGGTTGTCCACACATCATTTGTTCATCGATTTCAAATCCGCATACGACACAATCGATCGAGATCAGCTATGGCAGATCCAGCTTTTTGGCTTCGCCGATGACATTGACATCATGGCACGGAACTTTGAGACGATGGCGGAAACGTTCATCAGACTGAAGGCTGAAGCTAAGCGGATTGGACTTGCCATCAACGCATCAAAGACAAAATACATGAAAGGAAGAGGTTCTAGGGAAGACAATGTTAGCCTCCCACCACGAGTTTAGATCAAAGCGTAAAATTATTGACTGCCTAGGCTGAGTGTGAAAGCATTGCACTATTCAATCCATTGCTCTGTACAGACCGTTTGTACCAAACGGTAAAGGACGAGGCAATGAAAGAGCCAACAAAAACATTCAGTAACTCACGAGCAGGCGACGCACACCGCTTGCTTTCGCTCACACAGCATGTAATTGAGTCATTTTTACATAGGAAATGTACGCTCAGTCATTCAAAACAAATATTGATTACCATCACGGTAGAATAAACGTGTTGACTGAGCTACTGACTGAGTGCTCGGCTATCAGTGACTCGTTTACCTCTTAATCATTCAGACTCTCACGAGGCAGTGAATGATGAGGCAGATGGCAGTTCATATTCATATCAAAATGACTCAATGAACCTGACTGTTTTGCGCACTGGTTCAGATTGACGGTGACGAAATCGAGGTGGTCAATGAGTTCATGTATTTGGGCTCACTGGTGACCGCCGAAAATGATACCAGCAGAGAAATTCAAAGACGCATTATGGCAGGGAATCGTGCCTACTTTGGACTGCGGAGAACGCTCCAGTCGAATAAAATTCGCCGCCACACGAAGTTGACTGTCTACAAGACGCTGATTAGACCGGTGGTCCTGTACGGCCACGAGACCTGGACTATGCTCGTGGAGGACCACGAGGTGTTTTCGAACGGAAGGTATTGCGTACTATCTACGGTGGAGTGCAGATGGATGATGGAACGTGGAGGAGGCGAATGAACCACGAATTGCACCAGCTGCAGGGAGAACCATCCATCGTCCACATTGCGAAAATTGGGCGACTGCGGTGGGCTGGGCACGTCGTAAGAATGCCGCACGACGACCCAGTGAAAATGGTTCTAAAAAGCGACCCAACAGGAACAAAAAGAAGAGGCGCGCAGCGGGCAAGGTGGATCGACCAAGTAGAAGGCGACCTGCGGACCCTTCGCAGACTACGAGGCTGGCAAAGTGTGACCATGGATCAAGTAGAGTGGAGACGACTTCTTCGGACAGCAGAGGACAACAAGGCCTTAGTCTGATTGGTAAGGTAAGTACTTGATTTCTTCGGTCCGGGATCGCAGTACCTAAGTCCGCTGCAGCAGTACTACCTTCAAGAGTACCTGCGCCAAGCTGCTCTTCCGTGGATAGTGAAACTTCCAGCAGCAAGGAATGCGTATACATCAAGTGGATGCGGTAACGGCGTTTCTTCAGGGAGAGCTATCTGGCGAAGAAATATACATGGAGCAACCGGAAGAGAGTTTGTCGTTTGGTGAAGGCGCTGTATGGATTAAAGCAAGCAAGCCGAGTCTGGAATTTGAAGCTTGACGTGGAGCTGAAACGCATGAGTTTGTAGCCATATAGCTACGATCCGTGCGTGTATTTCAAAATAAAAGGCAACACAGTACTTGTTATCGTCTACGTGGACGACTTCTTTTATCGATACCGTGAAGAAGCAGTTAATGGTGAAGTTTCATATGAAAAACCTGGGGGAAGACCAAGCAGGTAATCGGTATGTGAAACACCAGCTGTGACGACGCAGTTATGCTGGATCAAGAAAAATGAACTACTGGAGCGGTTTAACGGTTTGACGAAGATGGAATCAACCGAGCAACAGAAGTAACCAATGGAAAGGATTCCGTTTCGCGACTTGGTAGGAGGATTGCAGTTTCTAGCACACTGCATACCGCCCGATGTAGCTTATGCCAGGAATGTGGTGAGCAGCTTCAGCAGTAACCCCAGCGAAACACATTTAATAGCGGCCAAAAGGATTCTCCGATATCGCTGTTTGGTGGCATGAATTCCTTGGCGAGATGTTCCAGACGGATGTTACAGTCCCAATCTTCTGTGACAACCAAACTGCGATATGTTTGACGGAGAAGAAGATCGGCGACCTGAGGCACCACTTCGTACGAGAGCAACTTGAGAGGAAGGCGATCTCGTTAGATCGGTTACTCGAATTTTGCAGAGAAAATTAAACAATTTCTTGTGAGAATGTTTGAGCGTTTAAAGAGAATTGTAGAATCAATACAAAGAATTGGACGAGAATTCTTATGATCCAACTGTTTCCTCTCCTCTGTGTAGAGAAAGCTAGCTACGCCTTTGCAAATATAGTAGATATAAAACGACATCTGCAAAGTTGCTTCTGATAAGTTTAGTACGATGTTACACAGAAAGTTTTCAAGAATCGCCAATGACGAAGAAAGGTCTGCTAAATCTGGAAAATTTTGAAACTGGCTAGAAACCCAACCCAATGGCCATGAATTTACCTTACAGGAATTCAAATAGAGCAAGAATCAGCTTTCAACATGACAAAATTGGTGAAAGCTATCCATTTTTATTTATTTATTCACTTACACATACACACATACACATTTACTGTATTTTGCACATAAATATAACATAACCAATGCTATCGTAAATCTGCCAGCAACGTTTGTCGAACGTATGGCCTTACCCTCCCCACTAAGAAACCTCCAAACTTCTCTGACACTTGTGAGAGGTGAACTCTGCGACTCTGCATCTCTCTTAAGTAGGTGTCCAACTAAAAATCCTTCCCATCCCCAGCAGTTGCAAGGACGTAGCCAAGACAGTTCTCGATTAGCTTGAGCTTGAGCTTGATTGACCGCCCACGGTTGCTACTCTGTTACTGCCAGATCAGCTGTAATTACACAGAGAACCAATAGACGATGCTTGGGACTAGCAATCATCCTCAATGTGTAAAAACTGGTGATCTTGAATTAGGCAATACCAGCGCCGGCCGCGCCCGAACACAGGTCAAGAAAGGAATGGGAAGGATTGTGTTGACATGACACTCGCTTTGATGGAAGCCGAGAACACCTCTGCACTTCCACGAGGAATCACTGGGATGTTGGATAAGAGGGTTGGGGGCAGCAGGGTTCGTTTTGGTAAACGATAAGCTGAATTGATGTCCTAACGATCATATAACGCGAAGGAGCTTGGGACTAAACCCACGGTTTTCTGCTCAGTAAGCAAAAACGTTTGCCACTAGGCAGACGAGCACCTTTTTAATCACCGAGTTGCTGTTATTACCATGTAGTCATATTAACAAATAAAACGATTGACGAATCTTGAATGTGGATGGGCCTGAGATTAGACTCATGATGTTCTGCTCAGTAAGCAAAAACGGTTGCTCTAAGGCCACCGAGCCCCTCATATCACATAATACCGTTGCTCAAATTTGTGTATCCATTCAAACCCGGAACCAACGACAACAACGAGTTTCACAAAATACACGATACACAAGCGATTTTACCATAAATCTGTTTGATATGTAAGGACCTGGGACCGCGTTTTTCTGCTCAGTAAGCAGGCCACTGTAACCGACGATCTTTCAAATCCGAAAACTAAAAACTACGAAAAAGTACTTAGGCCTTCATTAAGTTCCACTTTCACGCGACGTTCAATGACAGGGTCCTATCCAGGATTACATCTGAAAAATCCAAATCTGGCCAACGCCCACCCTAAACCTAAACCTGTTCTAATCCACCTGAAATGACTAACGAATGGAAGACTTTGACTACCCAGGCATGCAACAGTCTCATTCCGTGCCTTATGGCAACTTGTTGATTCTATTGCGCTCATCTTCTGGCACCACCCAGGGGAGACTTGGTCCTGTACCCAATGCTTAACTTATCTCCATTCCACTCAGCTACTCGCAATTTCTTGTGATATAGTGGGTGAGTTACCACGATAGTTGCTATTCAACAACTCGACAACGTCCCATCGTCAACGCCTGCTATGAGAATTTCCCATTGCAGACGCCAACGAAATGACGTCATCGAGCTATCGATCAACTACCCTGGTTATCGCCTGGTACCTTATAACACGATGCTAGGAGGCGAACCGGAAGAATCGATGAGCTACCTCTCCCCCCGTAGCCAAGACAGTTCTCGATCATTGGAGATACTGATACTTCCATCTAAGAGGCCGAGTTCAATTCCATATCTCGGTCAATACGGCAACGGACGGAGGTGACAATACTCACATAAAATAGTCTAGGACTTGTTGCGGCAGTGTACCACCTACGAATTTGTGCAACATGCTTATTGCTAATGCTCGTCTGCAAAGTTGCTTCTGATAATATTTTCTACAACTCTTCTGAATATACTAACTATTCATATTATTTTCATTTTTGGCAAATTTACACTTTCACAAATCATTGTTGGCAAATTTGACATTCTAGACTTAAAAGTTATAATACTTCAAGAAATTTTCAAGAATCTTAAGTCAAATTCTTTGCACAGCTTTAAAGGCTCGTGGAATTTTATTATAATTTCTAAGGAGCTCCTTCCCAAAAAATCTTTGAGAAAACATCAAGTACAATCTGTGCTAAAAGAAGGATTACAATTAAATCTGAAAATAGATCCAGGAGATCTGCAAAGGAATTCTAATAGTTTACCAAAAAAAAAATATATGAGGAGAAATTTAAGGAATTTGAGGGAAGGAATGCATATGAATTCTTAGGAGACTTTCAATGCGAGTAGAATTCCAAGGGAAGAAGTGAGATTCAAAAGGAAATCTTAAATGAATTCAACGAAAATTCTGAGAATATTTCCAAAGGGTTTCTTACAATTCAAAGATAATTGAATTCGGAGGATAGCTTCAACGAAAGGTTGAGGAATATTCCAATGTAATTGCGAGAAGTATTCAAAGTATATTCTGGTGATATGTTTTAGAAAATTCAGAGAAGCGTTCCAAGTGAATTTCTAGAAAAATTCCATGAGAGTTTCGGGATAATACAAAGCGAATGGTGAGGAGAACTCCAAGTGAATTTTCCTGAAGTTAATGAAACTGCCTTGAAGTTCTGTTGTAGTTTGGGAAACTAGCCTGATGCATAGATTACTTTTCATCCAATTTAAAAACTTGTTGAAGTTTTTCGGACTTCCTAAATATTCCTCAATTTTCCTAACCATCAACGATCTTCCCTTAAGTTTTAACAATTTGCAATTTATTTATTTATTTATTTACAGTTTATAAAATAACAATGTATTTACCCTATTGAGTAGACAAGTGGCATCCTGTAACCTCACTTGCTACCTGTGCACCAACTTTCAAAACCAGATTTAATGCCATATTCATACTTGAATCGTTTGAAAAATACACTTAATCCTCTAGTTTACTCGATATCTATCCATTGCAAGCAATATTTTGAAAATTGTTGATGTTTTGAGAGTTGGTGCACAGGTAGATTGAGGTTAAGGAAACGCCAATGGTATAGACACCCTATGAATTTCTAGGTTTGTTGACTGCTTATGTTAACAACTCATGAGTATTTTCCGATAGATGTCGCCACAAGGAACAGCAGTGACATCTGATGGAAAATGAATGCAAAAGCTTGACTAAATGATTAATTCACTCGGACGATAAGATCGACTCAAAATCGAGTCGATATGACCACACAGTTTAGCAAATGCTCTCCAGAAAAATCCTCTCCAATATGAGGAAAATAGACGCAAATTTTAGTCGATCTCATCATCATCATCTGTGCAGGGTCCGACCGGGAAAATTCGACTTCCGACTTCTTGCTTTTTCTGATTTTCTGGAACATGTATAACATCTCCAAAAATGTTGTGCGAAGAGCCAACCTTTTTGCCTAATCTTATCTAATGACTCGGTGCAAAACTTACCATGCGTGGTTGGACCCCTCCGGGTCACCGCTTGGATGCCTGGATTGGGTCCAACAATCTGCTGCTGCTGCTGTTGGTGCGGCGTAGGAGGTTGTATAATTTGCACTTGTTGATACTGCTGCTGCTGTTGTTGTTGCTGTTGCTGTTGAGAATCAGGAGGGAAGACAGGTGTATCAATATCTACCGAAGCTGGCCGTCCACGACCCGCTAGCGTTATTGGAACACCGGTTACTGAATTAACCTGCTGCTTGAAAATGCGATTTATTTTGTTTTGGTAATGTGTGTGTGTGTGTGTGGGGTTTGTGTTATTTGGACGGGTGATTGATTTGGGATTAGAGTCGAATGGTTAGTTAGTTGTTGGATGAGTTGATTTGATGCAAAGAGAACAAGAACAAGACGAAAAAGGACGGAAACAGAGAGGAAAAGCAATTCAGCCAGGAGTTCTACTGGAGTATTTATCAATCATAATTATTATTGGTGTTAAATTGGACAGGCAATTACCTGGTTCTGCGTCGGTGGTGCACTGGCCGCCCGCGGCGTTACAATATCACCGATGTGAGCCCGCTGCACAAGTACGTACTTTCCTCCAAAGCTTCCACCTGGACCACTGGTGCTGGCTCCCGCTCCACCGGGACCGGCAACGCTTATGATCTGGGCTTGTTGCAATTCGGCCGCATCCGCAGCGGTGATTATCCGCTGCTGGGGTTGCTGGGAAGGCTGGTGCTGCTGCTGCTGTTGTTGTTGCTGTTGCTGGGATGTTGAGATAATACTAATTGTACCGGGATTTGATTGACCTGCAGTGGTATATACATGCCGGACGACAATCGACGAGGGTTGCCGACCGACCGTTGCCGTGGTTATCCGCTTGGGGTGAACCAATCGGGGACCAACCTGTTTGAACTGTTTGAATTAATTCCAGATTGTTCGAGCACTACTGCGACTAGCAATGTTCCACTCACCTTATTGGTAAGAACAGCCCCACCGAAGGTGGTTGGTTCGTCCTTGAGGCTTCCAGTGCTGCTGCTACTGCTGTTACTATTGCTGCTATTGCTCGAGTTTGAGTTGGAACTGTTCAGGAACGCCTGCGGTGGTTTCAGTTGAGCCCGCAACTGATGCCGATTAGGACTGTTCTGGATGACGGCCTGGCAGATTTGGTAGCTCCGTTCAAGATTCACCGCCCCCGGCGGAAGACGGCTGCTACTGGTACGCCCGCCACGCCTACCACTGCCACCGCTGCTGATACCGCCGGTTCCAACTTCAAGTCGCTTTCGAGGCGTTGGCCCGATAACCACATTCGCTCCGACCGTAGCTGCAGCTTGCTGGGCTTGTTGGTTAGCGAGAGCTTGTTGGTTGGCAAGAGCTTGAGCTTGAGCTTGAGCCTGAGCCTGAGCTTGAGCTTGAGCTTGAGCTTGAGCCTGAGCCTGAGCTTGAGCTTGAGCCTGAGCTTGAGCTTGAGCTTGAGCCTGAGCCTGAGCTTGAGCTTGAGCCTGAGCTTGAGCTTGAGCTTGAGCCTGAGCTTGAGCTTGAGCTTGCGCTTGCTGCTGTAGCTGGACACTGTTGATGATGGCAGCATTCTGACCTCGGATCAACTGGTTAGTGACAAACTTCTGTTGGAATCGCTGCTGAGATTGTGTCGGTGTCTGTTGGGGTTGCTGCTGAAGCAACTGAGCTCGCTGCAAAGGTAGTCGGGCTCGTTGCTGCTGCTGCTGCAGGGTCGAAGTGGACATGATGATCTTCTGCAGCTGGATCGGTTTTTGGATGGTTGTCGCAACGGTTGGTTGCTGCTGTTGTTGCTGGAGAATTTGACCCGACGGGCCGCTAGTTACCGTGATGGGGATCTTATTGCCGATCTGCCTCGAAGTGATGATGAATTTTGGCTGTTGCTGCTGGAGGATTTGCTGCTGCTGTTGCTGATGATGACTGCCGTCAGTTGATTCCAGTTTGATAATTTGATTCTGAACCTGCTGTAGCAACTGTTGTTGGTGCTGTTGCTGTTGGTGATGTTGCAACAGTTGAGCTTGAGTGGTCACTGGAAAGGTGTAGTTCCCTGCTACACTCTCGATTACCCGTGTAAGATTGTCGCTTCCGGACGAAGAGACGACGTGCACCTTCTGGCCGTCCTCGCCTTCAATTTTGATCCTGGTGATCAACTGACCGGTGGCTGGCCGACCCTGAAACGTCACACCGGAGATGGTCGGCGCTTCCGCTTTTATCACCGCTCGGACATCCTTAACCTACAAAAAGATGATCATTGTTAAGTGTGACTTTCAAACTTTCAAGGCAAGAGAGTAATTCAAAATCCGGACTCGCCTCTGATGAAAGAAAGCTGCTGGACACGGCCGTCACCGTCGGAATTAGCACCTGTTGCGGTTGTTGCTGTTGCTGGAACTGTTGAGCCTGCTGCAGCTGAAGTACATTCAATTGCTGTTGATGCTGCTGCTGAGGTTGTTGAGCTTGCTGAAAGAGCACCTGTTGGTTTAAGAACTGTTGCTGCTGGGCAGCTTGAATGGAATGGATCTGTTGCTGCTGATGTTGCAATTGCAACTGCTGATGCTGCTGCTGCTGCTGTTGCTGCAGTGCGCTGTTACTTCTACTACTACTACTAACTGCTATCTGCTGCTGCTGCTGCTGATGTTGTTGCTGTTGATGATGATGAAGCTGAAGATGACTACTGACGATGGGGGCGGCTGCGGCAGAGACCGTACTCGTCGTTGACGGTGTCAGAATAATACTGCTCGAGTCCAGCTGGTCCACGATCATCATCTTCGGGTCCAGCTTCACTTTGAAGGGCCAATCTGGAATCGCAAAAATAAAATCACATGTCAGCGTTCATTAAACCGATTTCTAGGAATCGCCTGCATAGCACTGAAGTAAACATATTTCGAACGAAAGAAAACATATAACAACAACAAAGGGATTCATTTTGCATATCGCGCCTCGCATCGATTACGTAACTGAAACAGGTCAACGAAACGAAAAGAGTATCACATTTCCTCGCGGGAAGACAGACGAAACAAAAACATAAAACAAGAGAGCAATACGAAAACAAGAACACCAACAGACCCATCCCCGACATACGGGATCGAACGGATTCTTACCGCCACTTTCAAAGATATTATCAGTCTCCATCTTGATGGCATTGATCCCGTCGAATCCGTCCAGATCGCTCGTCGTACAGAGAGCCGCTTCCTCGGCCGTAGACGTCGGAACATCCTGCTGATCCGAACACAGAATCTGCTGTTGATCGTCTGCCTCTTCTTCCTCGTCGTCTTCGTCCTCCGCTTGATTCATTCGATTGGGATCATCATTGTCGTCGTCCTCGTCCTCATCATCCTCCTCCTCCTCTTCGTCCTCCTCGCCCTTGATGTCCATTTCGTGCAATATGATAAGATTGTCCTCGTGGGTGCTGGGACCGGCTTCCGCCACCCCAGCGATGCCCAGATCCACTCCGGCTTCCTCGTCGGTTGCATCCGTCAGCATGCCCAGCGTGTCGACTGATGTTTGTTGAGATGTGTGCGATTAGTAAGCAGCGTAAGAGAAGGTTAAAGTGACCAGATTGGGTGTTAGTTAGACCAAATGTTGGATGGGTTAGTTGAAGGTGCAATGTATGTAAATCAGTGCATGATTGTGTGTCACTTGCGATCAATGTGATTACATGAGGTTCGGTTTCAGTGTTAATCAGGGAACCCAGCAAAGGTCGAATTTACTAAAGGCTAAACCGCTGAACGGTGTCAATAGGATGAAACGAAATAGGGCTTAGTACCCTATGCCGTAGGGCATCCAAATCCATCTACTCGCATCACGCTCTATATTTTGCAGGAAATCTACAGAACCGTCATCAATCTATTTCACTAGCATAAATGGGCTAATAGAGAATCACTAGCATAAATGGACTAAGAGAGCAGCATTTTTCCTGGTTCAAATTCGGTTCTGCGTACGAATTTTTAAAAAATTGTCGATGTTTTAACTACTTTGAACATTTATTCAAATCTCTACAAGATTTTTTTGCAATTCTCAAGCTGTTTTTTTTTTTTGAATTATTTCCCTTTACAGAGTTTATTTCATAATTAATCTAAAATAAATTTTAGATTCTCTATAGGAGTCCATAAAACACGTATTTATAACAGTCTAGAAATTCTCCACAGATCAATAAAAAATGAAATTCATCCTAAGATTTTCTTGGAATTTGAAAGCTTTTTCTATGCATTAACTGAAGCTTCCTTCCAGAATTCTATTTGAAATTCGCTTGAATTCTTTTTAGGGGAATTGCATTCCACCATAGAATTGTCATTTGTTCAGAATTACGTTGGAGTTCTCCTCTAAATTCTTCTGAAATTATGCTAAGAAATTTGCTTAAAATTTTCTAGAAATTCGATTCGTTATGCCCTTGGAATTATCCTTGGAATTACCTTAACATTATTCTCAGAATTGTATTGGAATTGCACCCTCAAAATTGGTTCCCTTGGTATTTTACACGGATTTTGGGATCCTCTTCAGAATCGACTTGGAATTTTCTACAGAGCTACTTAACTTAAAGTGACTTGGAGTTAAAGTCTAAAATCTCCAATGGCGGTAGCATTAAAACTTAATCGCAAATAGCAAAACAGTACTTACTTTCCGCACTAATCTCGCCGCTCTCCAGCACGTAGTTTTCCGCATCGATAAACTTCTCGTCCATCTGGTCATCGTCATCGGCGGAATCGATCGCTCCCATCGCCGCCTGATGCGACTGCTGGTGCTGCTGCTGCTGCTGCTGATGAACCGAATCGATCAACTGCAGTCTATGCAAATCATCCCCCTGCAATCCTCCCGATGCCGTTCTGATTCTCCGTACCACCTCCTGATCGTCGCAATCGTCCTCATCCTCGTTGGTGGAATCATTATTGTTATCACAGTTCTCCTCGTCGTCTTCCTCTTCGTCCTCTTCGTCTACACCTGCCCCACACCCGCCCATCATCATCCCACTACTGCTCGCACTCTGATGCAACAGCTCGTGATCGTGATGATACGCCGTTAAGTTCATATTCACTTCCGCACTCACCGTCCGCTGGCTGCTGCTAGCCTCCGAACTGCCATTACTATCACTGTTTATCACCCCATTCGATGGGGGTTCCTCCACTTCCTCTTCCTCCTGCTGTTCCCTCTGCATGATCACCAGTTCCTCATTGTTTTGCAGCACATTCTCGAAACTACTCAGCGCATTCGGCGGAACCTGGTCGCTGGAGGACATCAGAGCCGTCGTCGATGTGCTGCTACTGTTGCTATCGTGACAGAACTGCTCCTGCTGCAGATGGTGGTGACTGCTGGAATACGGCAGCTCCTGATCCATGACGACGGAATTACTATTGCCACTGCTCATCACAGGACTTGCTATCCGTGGAGCTGTCCCCACCACTCCTGCCCCCGGCGAAGGAACACAAACAATATTGAATATCTGCCCGGAATGCTGATCGTACACGGTTTGCTGTTGCGGTTTTGTCCGATCGCTGAGATTCGAATCGTACGTCGTCGGATCTTCACTGGGTTCAGGCGTCGGAGCACGTTCCATTATGACCTCCGTTATGTCCGGATCGTCGTCGGGAATTTCCTCTACGATCGTTTCCTGAGCAACTTCCACATCATCCAGCGGATCCGGAACCGATTGCTGATCCTCGATGATTTGCACGTCATCTGATTGCGACGATGGTGCGGATGGTAGCGGTGCCGGATGCGCCGCGAGATCCGGTTTGATAATATCACATGGTTTCGATGAGCCCTCTTGCGCAGAGGGCTGAAGGTCCGGAGACGATTTCGATATCTTACTATTGCTTAGCTCTGGTGTTAGGGATCGATTGTGCGTTCGCTTCAGACTGCCACTGACGAAACTACTGGAACTACTACTAGAGGGACTGCAGGAATCTACGACATCTGACGCCGGTTTAGGAGTATCAATTGGACTTGATACCGGAACGGCGACCGTAACGATGGCAGATGCGGAAGTGGAAGGTTTGGGTGATTCCACTCGAGTGATCTGGCGGGTGAGTCGTACTGGAGAACTGGGAGCTTCCGGTGGGAGCTGATGAACCAACTGCTTTTGGCTGGCAGTTGCTCGAGTGATAGCTCCAACGGTGCGAACCCGCTTTGGAGACGACGTGCCCGTTGTTGGCGAGAGAGAACTTTGGGTGGTACTAGTGCGGGTGGTTGGGATCGTAGTAGTAGCCGACGGTATACCACCAGCACTACTACTGCTACTACTACTACTACTACTACTGCTACTACTACTACTACTGTTACTGCTACCGGGAGAGATACTATTGAAGCTAGTACTACTGATGCTGGGACCACTGCTACAACTGGCCATCGCTTCCGAAGCTGCCGTCGTGCTCGTAGCTATCGTCGTTGTCGGCCGCAGCTTGATGGTGGTCTTAAGGGCAGGTCTCGTCGAAGTTGGGGTACTGGTCTTTGGAGGTTCAGGCGTGCTCTCTAGATTCTCCTTCGTCGGTGTCGGCGGAGGTGACGGGTTTGGTTGCGTCCCGGCAGCACCGACATTCGCCGCCGAACTCTTATCACCCCACATCGGTTCGAAGTGTTTCAACTTCCACGGATCCAGTTTACTCTTCTCCTTCTCCGCTTCCGTCTTTAGCTTCATCTGGTTCTCCGGAGTAAACTCCCCTTCCGCTAACCGATCGCGCCACTCCAGGCAAGCTCGGGCGAAGAATTCATTGTTCAAACTGGACGGATTTAACCGTATTCCATTCCGTTCGCAATCCGATGCATCCAGCACCGAGGGTCGATCCACCGAGGGCAGCAGTTGGACCAATTTGTACTGAAACAGAGGCGGTAGCATCTGGAAGGTTTGCTTGTTCAGCAACGACCTCAGATTCGTATTGACCAGGATGGAATCGGGCGTTTCGAGATCAATGCAACCCTCCCTCGTTTGTTCGATCTGCGCCGCGGTGGACATTTTCTTGTTGGACCTCCGCCGGGGTTTCATGCTAAACCCCGGAATGGAAGCCAACACCTCCCGCATGGTCGAAGCCGGGCCGATTGGTCGCTTATCATCCCGCGAAGGTGGAGGCAGGTGCTGCTTCGGTAGCTGTTTCACTACTATCCTAGGAACGTTTCGCCGCAGGTGGTGATTGTGTTTGGGGGTTTTCTCCTGATTTTTCACCGGCGAGGCAAGCAGATCCATCGAACTACCGGATACGTTCAGTGGGTCCACTGCAAGAGAGAATAAATTAGAATTAGATTGGTGGCTTCCTACAATAATGGCAGAGACAATGGGACACGAACCTTCTTTCAGCGGATTGCAATCGTAATCATCCGACAGGCTGAAGCTGGGCTCCGGCGTGCAGGAGACCACCTCCGGAAAGGTCACCGTAATCTCCTCATGATGAATGTGATGGGCATGATGGTGGTGGTGGTGATGATGGTTTTGGTGGTGGTGTTGCTGCTGATGGTGCAGGTGATTCTGCGACGATGTTGATGACGATGACGACGATGACGATGAGGATGAGGCTGCCATACTGGTCGGTGCCGTGGCTGAGCCCACGGGCGATTCCGAACGATAACTACTACCGGTACTAACGTTTAAGAGATTTCTACCACTGTTACCACTTATGCTTAGGTTACTGCTGCTACTGTTGTTGCCGCTATGATGATGCTTCGGCTGGCGCCGTTGGTTACTACTGATGTTGCTGTTGCTGCTGCCACTACTGCTGCTGTTGGAACCGGTGCGAAGGTGTCCACCACCGCTGCTGCTGTCCGGTGGCGAAACGTCGCACTCCATCTTCGAATGGGACTTTCTGGAAGTGAAGGAAGGAGATAACATTTAATTTTATTTTTAGTGCAAAATGTTGGGAGTTGGTCATGCTTATAGGAGTTTAATAGGCCGATTGCGTCAAAGCAAAATACATGGTGACGGGTAGGCTGAATTCAAAAGGTCTCGAAGGTGTCCAAAACAACCATAGAAGCGTCCGTGAACCATTTCATTCCCAGAAGGTTTTTCGTTGTTTTGAAAAGTAAAAATGTGTTTTTGAGAAAACTGCTACAGTGTATCAATAAAGGAACTTAATCATTAATGTTCCCTGATTTTTCAGTCGTTTTCAGAAAAAAATTCCTGGTTAAGAAAACTTTTCAAAAATCTCCCATTTGAAATATGGCAAGCAGTAACCGGAACGTTACTATGATTGATAGCGATGTGTCAAGGAAACTGGGTACAGAATTTAAAAAAGTTGTGGTCGATGTCACCGATTTGAGCCAAACTTGCCAAAAAAAGCTTATTTTGGCATTCTGAACAAACGCCTTTTTTTATTTCTCTCAAAAGTGCCTAGATCCTTCTCGGCTACAACCCTGGATTTTCGATTACTCCACAACCAAATAAACTATTCGTGTAATTAGAACGTTAATTTGGAGATTTTTTTTTAATGTAGATTCTTAGAAGTGCACTCACATTTTGTTTTTGTTATAGTAACTACAGTAAACAGGTTGATTACCGACAGACATCCAAACTGTAAAAAATTGCCTATTTTCAACATGGGCGGGATTTTTTATTTCTTAATATTTTGGGCTCAAACTTTCACCACACTTTGGAAAACTCTTCTACTTGGTGTGTTTCCAAAGGAAAATCATTTAGACAAATAGTTTTTGAGATATGACCAGATGAGTGAGAGGTAGTTTTGAGCTTTTCTGGTGGAAAATAAGCGTTTTGGCCAAGTTTGGCTCAAATCGGTGACATAGACCACAGGTGGTGTACCCACATGACCTGGAATGACCCTACAGTGATGCTTGTTTAACCACCGTAAAGTTTTCAATAAGTTCATGATCCGTTTCTTACTCTAATTTACTCCATGCCCTCCAGAGCATTGTAATTTCCTCACCCCTAGTAGTTGCTATTCTGACTGTTGCCGGACTTTCCACTAGGGTAGACATTCAACAGGAGCTCCTTCAATTTGCATATGAAACACTCGTCTTTAATCCCGTTATAAAATATATCTCCTGTGCATAGAGTTTTCTACCCGGGGCATTCCGGGAAACTATTCGAGGAAATTAACAAAAAATCACGTTTCCCAACAACTAACTTTTTTAATTTTGCCTAACATACATTTTCACACAAAATAGGTCACATCGGGTGGGAAACCATTACACGGATATCCTGAAGAAAGAAAAAAAAAACAGAGAAGGTCGGAAGAAAGTTCTAGATGAAGCCTGATAAAACTTCCTGGGACGCCTGAAAGTCTTCTGGTAGAAGTCAGGAGGAACTTCTGGCGGAATTTAGAAGAATCTTTTAGTGCAATTCAGGAGAAACTTTCGGAGACAGTCAGGAAATACACTCAGGTCTTTTTTACACGGGGGATACGGTCCGTGTAAAAAAAACCGTGTAAAAAAAAACCTACGAGATTTTGATTTTTCGCATGCTTAAATGTTTTTAAAAAATCGGATTTTGATGCCATTTGTAATTAAAGCATGATATGGTCCATATAGACATATTTTAAAAATTTCTGTATTTACACCAAAAATTGTGATTTTTTTTAAGTATGCCATTCGATTACAAATAGCTTGAAACGGATAATGTGATTGGAATCAAGTCGATAGGTTGTATCGTTGTCGAGAAATCGTTAAAAACGTACCGTGTAAATCGTGGAAAACCGTGTAAAAAAAAACCGCGTAAAAAAAACCGTGTAAAAAAAGACTTCAGTGTACTTCTAAGATGTCGGAAGAAATTTCCGGGAGTAATTTGAAAAAAAAATCCTAAAAAGTTGGAATTAGCTCAGGGCTGGTAAAGGGTATTTGATACAATAGTAGTGACTTTAGTGACTAAAATAACGAAAATAGTGACCAAATAGTGACTTAAAGCAATAAAAAAGTGGTCAATTGTGACAATTATTGATCGAAATGATATATAAAATATATGGTTCCAATCGATTATTTTGATCCGCTTTGAAAAATAATATAATCTCACAACCCACCATGAGCATTTTTCAAGCATCTTTAAAATAAAACAAATCTAGATAGAGCTGGAATTAGGGCGTAACCGCTTTTGTAAACAATGACTTCCCCTACCCGATGGGGATGTTGATTTGCGTAGACGAGTCTTAACTGCCTAGAAATCATCAAGAGAAGTCATCACGGCGAATGAGAACGACTCAAATTTGAGTTTAGTTCACTCATAATCGCCAAAAGTGCAGGAACTCAGCGATGAGTAAAGATTAGATTCACTCAGTCTATTGGTACTACTCAGTACCAATAGACTGAGTGAATCCAATCTTTACTTATCTCAAATTCGGGAAATTTTCCCTGGAAAATCCTGGAAAAACCTGGGAAAACATGAGGCAAATTTACTCATCGCTGAGTTCCTGCACTTTTGGCGATTATGAGTGAACTAAACTCAAATTTGAGTCGTTCTCATTCGCCGTGATTGTTTACAAAAGCTGTTACGCCCTAATTCCAGCTCTATCTAGAAATGGTCGAAAGATCCCATGAACTTGTTTTCGAAAAATCAGTATTAATTAAACCCAGGCTGAAAGCCTCCTTAATAAAGAAATCTTACCTTACCTTATAAGTTGAATAATTCAAGAACAACATGTGAAAAGGGCATACAAGCTTTTTGTAAACAAACCTTCTTATGCCCTTTTCTTGCTATCCATATGACACTAGGGTGGGGCTTATTTTTCAAAATCTTTTGGGGACACGTTTTCTCATGTGGAAAATGATTACTAGGGCCAAATGATCAACATATCCAAAAATGAGCGTTTTTCGTTTAGATTTACAGTTGGCGCCAGAGGCCCAAGTCCAATATATCGAACGAAGCTGATTTTCGAGCAAGTCTAGTGCGTCTTTAAGTAAACACGTGATTTCGTTACCCTGAAGGACAAAATTTGTGTCCGTTTGGCGATATCTTTAACCATTTTCGATCTATACGGCATAGCAGGTTTGGACTTACACCCACGAATATGATCTAGCGCAAACAGTATTCTTGGTAGTGCTAGATGCAGTGAGCGTATGAGTACGACACAGATCGAGCGAGAACGCAATAGTGAGAGAGAGAGAGAGCAAGAGAAGAGAGTGAGAGAGAGAGAGAATGATTAATTAAATGTGTTCAATTTATATTTGTTTGAAAATATATTAATCCATAAAATCCAATTCTCGAATATGACCTCACTATAACGAATACTTATCAAAAATAGTACTTTGTTTCAAGTGAGTTAGGTTTTTTTTGTGGGAGTTAACGTTTACAATAAGATTCTGGAAACTTTCTTCGTTTTGAGTTACATTACGATTATAATCATGAATTTGCCGGATAACCCTTTCAGCGTGGTAGTTTACGACTTTCAAATTATCGACAATGTTCATATCATGAATATAGGCTTCATTCTTGATAAAGGACGTTACGGGGATAGTGAGGAAACTGCTGTTCATACCTAGTGTATCAAACAATTTTGCTGTGTTTGCTGTTGCTAAACGTGAAAAAGTTGCATTCAACAAGTCTTTGAATGGTAGATCCCGCTTTCTCTGTGGTTTCTTACCTCCTGGTTTCAATCGAATCGACAGTGCGAGATTCTGTCGCTCCATGTCGGGAAGACTTTCATCGAATACAGCAAGCCCCACTAGTTCCTCGCTTAGATACCAACCCAAGTAACATTGCAAGTTTTATGGAGGTTTTAAAGCTTGCTACAAGTCTAAATCGTGGTCTACAGAACCCTTATAAAACCGAAATTGTTACTTGGGAAGTGTGCAACAAAAATTTCTTTTGGGCCTTAGGCCTCTGGCGCCACCTCTAAATCTTAACGAAAACGCTCATTTTTGGATATGTTCCTCATTTGGCCCTAGTAATCATTTTCCACATGAGAAAACGTGTCTCCGAAAGATTTAGAAAAATTAGCCCCACCCTACTGAAAATTTCCAGAATCTTATTGTACAGGGTGCGTGTAAATGGCATATTTGAGAAAAAATACACCAGTTAGTTATTCTAGCAATGAATTTTGTGCGATTTATTTTCTTTCGCAACGTATGGAAGTTGTAAGTAAATTTATTCAAAAAAATTGCCTTCCCTTTCGACGACTGTAGTTAGACGCTTCCGGAAACTGCAGTATGCTCGTTTTAAAATGTTTCGATCCATAGATGTTATCACTGCCTTGATTTTAGCTTTTAGCGACTTAAGTTTTGTGTGAGGGGTTCTATTGGTATCCCGTTGGACGACGCCCTATACAAAATAATCCAACGGATTGATATCGGGACTGCTTGGGGGCCAAATTTCTTCCTCCCAAATTTACGAAATATTTTCCGTAAGCCATTTCTGTGCTTTATTAGCAGTATGAGCAGGTGCTCCGTCTTATCACTTTCCCAAGCCTTTTTTAATATTATACACTGTTCTTTCAGACACATTTACCGACCGAATTATATCTTTCATGCATACTCCGGCGCGCAACAAAGCGACAACGGCTGACAGATTGCTCTCTTGTTTCGACATCTTTACGTTTACTCAACATTGTTTGTTTAAATCTTACACCTAACAGTATAAGCTATCCAGTGCTGCCAAATATATCTAAATCATGATGCACAAGCATGAGAAATTACTATTTGAAATTTACTGCAAAAATTCGTCACGCACCCTGTAAACGTGAACTTTCACAAGAAAAACCTAACTGACTTGAAGAAAAGTACTATTGTTGATAAGTATTCGTCATAGTGAGGTCATATTCGAGAATTGGATTTTATGGATTAATAAAACATAACACAAATATAATGAAAAACATTTCAAAATGTCCTATCTGCATTGATCGATTCTCTTACGTTAATAACTCAG